ATCAACGCAGAAAGAAGGCAACTGTCGCGCGATTTTAACATTTCGTTCAATCTTCTCCATCGATTGTACACGTTCATTCACCATGATAAAATAGTCCGTGAGCTATGCATATGCCTATTTGTTTCAAGTCCGCTATTGAAAAGATTCAACGAAATGTTCTCATCTCGCGCGACATTTGTCTTCTTCCTTCTGGCTTACAGTTAGTAAAGATCAGGGCTAAATGAACATGTAATCTGGTGGGAAAGTTCATCAAACCAAGAGTTGTAAGAGAGGTCGTGTCTTGTCTGTTGAACTGTTGATCTGTGAACATACAAATACACACACACAGAGTGAAGAATGCACATACGAGAAATAATGGAACATGATTGGTGCTCGGAAAATATTCTGAATTCCCTCATGGACAATGTGCTCGGGGGCGTATAAGCGAGGATCAGAACGATCGAAACGTGGAACTAGTCTTTCGCATGAGCATTGTTTCAATCGACTTCCTGGTTGTTTCACTGCGAACAAAGACAGTTCAATCAACTGAATAAATCTGAACAAATCTGCGAGTCCATTGAAAATCGGTTTTCTTCCTCGGAATGTTTCCACAGTAATCAAAGCAAAACAACAATGAAAACAAAATGATTTGTGAATGCCTAATTTTGCCTACGTCCAACTAACGTCGACCGTACTGACATGTTAGATGCCACGAGGATATTGACGTGCATATATCTATCTACATTTCGAATGTGGTTCCACTGGCATTCAGAAAGGGACTCTGATCATCGTTGGACTCGGATCTATAGGGCAGACAAAAGTTTTTCGCTTATCATGCAATCATGCATTTAATGAGAAGGTTTGCGACCCGGGAGTTCTCAATCAAATCTCACAGATCTGTATTCCATTGTTCGATATTCGTGTGCACGAACAGAAAGCAATTTCATCCGGGTAGAGGAGCTGAATGACTCAGCCGATCCGGTACCAACGAATGGTTGCGGGAGAATGGATCAGATCAAAGATAACCTCGTCAAACAGGATTCGTCGATTAATGCATGTTCCACCGGCGCCAACCGTTCAGGGAATCCACGAGGTTAGAGCGCGGGTGGAGGAGGAGTGGTGATTCATTTCCAATAGACTAAGTTTGCGTGTGTGTGTGGATAATTGCTAGAAAATGACCAGGCTTTGCGATTACACATTTGGTTTATTTCTATTTTATTTCATGAAAATGTACGCTAACTGATAATTGCACGGTAATACAACGCTCCGGAGTGAATTATTGATGCCCACCGGGTCACTGAAAAATTGGACTCATAGAATGCCTGTATTGGACAAAACAAACCCGAAAAACACATATCAGTAAAAATTATACTCCAGTTATACTTGTCCCGACTCCACATGAGAGTGTCAAAACACTATACTCGGTGTATTGAAAGCATGTGCATGCCAAAGTAAAATACGTTGCACAATTTCGTGAAAGGATTACCTTGTGCACTGGTATATGGAAAACGCATTTCTGCGGTGGTCCTCGTCAAAGGAGGCTAATGACACTCGATGAGCGTAGCCTGTCTAACCTAATCCGTTCCAGCTATGACCAATTTAAAGTTAAAACTCGGTTGATCCCGGATGTAGGTTTTGTCAATGTATATATCAATATTTGAACACATATATATATATATATATATTTAGGAATTATCTGCTTCTTAGGTCCCAGCCACCTGTTGCTATTGTTCTTGTCGTTGTTGTCCTCGTTTAATAAACCAGTTCATCACTTATCTAGGGTTACAATAAAAAATAATTCAATGAATGCTTACTTTTATTTACATCAATTGACGATTATACATTGAGTTTCTAAGCCCATTCGAAGAAAAGGTTGAATTTTGTGTTTTTATCCACTTCACTGCCAGCAGGGTCCCTGTACGCTCCGGTTTGAACCCCGGTACAGACTTTGGGCTGTCAAATGTGTCATAAATGCATGACACGACGAGTGCATACCATTATCAAGATAACCGCGGAGATTTTCCGGCTTCTGCACTTTATTCCTTTGGTCTATCCCTCCACTGGGTGTACAGTAATTTTGCCTACTGGTTCCGCAGTCAACCACCAATCAAACTCGAAGTTTTATGTCCTAATGTCTTACTCTACCGGGGCTCTTTTATGACCTAAAATTGCACCTATCACAGTCAATTCCCTACAGGATCATTCGCTTGAAGTATTTGAACTGCATTTACACATCCCGTAAACACACAAGACAAATATACCCATTCTGGTTTGGTGCACAGAATCACTCACGCATCTAACCTTTGTCCTGACCAGTGTTCCGTGCTATCATTGGTCAAAAGCGTATACTATTGAGGTGGAATATGATGGACAGAGAACCGGGGAACGAGTAGCAATGATTTGGAAGAGGACCGACGGCTCCGGCACTAAGGCACACAGCCCTAATTGGTGGAAAGAATGTGTGAAACAACGTTTGGGACAACCGGAAATGATCGAATCCACGGTAAAGTCTGGTAAATGATCTTCAGCGAACCACAGTGACAGTGAGGAGATAATGCACACACACACACTGCTATCGATCCGCGTATCGCTCTACACGACCAAAGTAATCCAGAACAAACAGTGTGAGGATGTGGAGGCGTGTAACTCGCCGACGTGTTTTCAAAGATGAACTAACAGCATCACGATTCTGATGTGTGATCTGGTAAATGAACAAATCTCGAATGGTAAACATAACCGAAAGAAAGGTTTTTGACGTTTTATTCAAGGACGTGTGACACTCGTACGCAGTCCACCAATATCTGAGTTCGCGGAGAGAAAATAGTTGCCCGTTGGAAACAGGGAATGTGTTCATGCAATCCCTGTGTGGAAACACCCAGAGCTGCTCCTTATCCTGTGGAATACATGCGGTAAATAGAGCAGCCAAATCTCAAAGAAGACCAAGGAGTGAATTTTAGCGTACTTCATCAAACACAAGGGCACGTGATTCAATTTGGTACAGGAATTCACAAATCAATGTGAATCTGAATCTGTTTTTGATAGCAAGGGGATACATATTGGGAGTGTATTGAGATGATGTTTCACCTGGAAGGGACCCAACGGGAGAATATAGCACAAGACATGACGTGTATGTGTGAGTGTGTGTGTGCTTGCGCTTGAATTCAGTGGCCGAGCTACTCGGTTAGAGTAATTTTGAAACTACATAATAGACCGCGTCCACTTCTCAATTCGAAGCCTGCTAACCCTAGTGATAACTGTCAAATGGATTGTCTCTTTCTCCGTCCTGGGTGGAACCCCGTTGTGACCAGGTTTGTGTCGATCACTAGTCAAGGACAATCCAGTTGGAAACCAGAACTGTTTACAGATTTATGGAACAATAAGGAAAACGATGAAATCGGCAACTCCGCTGAGGGTGTTTTCCAAGCGGATGGATGTTGCGTTTGGTTAATCCGACGCGAATGTTACATGACGATTACGCCGCAAATTATGTCATAATCGGGGGAGATGATCAGCTGGGGGGATACTTTTTAAACACCCATTTTGAACAGGATTCACGTAAGAATAAAAACTTGTTGTCCACCTCAAATGACACATCTTTTTCCGAAAAAAAAGAATTTACTTTTTGATTTTTGATTGCAATCAAATATCAGTACAGAAGAGTTCACTCTGAAAATCAAACAGTCAGTTTGGAAGTCATAAATGAACGTTTTATGGGCTGAGAACCGAAAAGTTAAGACATGCAATACTATTGTTAAGAGAGAAGCATCAACATGAGCCTTCACGTGTGTACAAGCATGGATTGGTTATTCAATGTCGGGTAAAAATATTACAGATGGTGAATTCAAATAAAGAAGTCAAAAACACAGATTTACACAACTTCACTGCATCTATGTACACATGCATATACTGTAGTCTATGTGATCATTAATATAGATGGTCAGTAAATAACAGAATCATTGGCGGAGAAAGGATTGCGTTTAAAATTACGCACCAGACACATTTGTTACCAAGGTAGCGCCAGAGTGATACGCCAAATCTAAGTGTATCTATCAGTTCAATTGTGGATGCTCGGCCATCTACATCGGCAGAAAGCGAGGAGACAACAGCTTTACCGAGTAACCGAGCCCATCCCGGTCGGACCGGAGAAAACAATGAGTGGGAACTTCGAAGTTTGAGGTCACCAATGTCCCGTAGGAAACTTAGTTCATCGATCACACAACACCTGATCGAAATCAAACACTGTGTGATGCTGCGCGACGCGTTCAGAATCCTCTACAACACAAACAACACCAAGGTTCTGAAATAAAGCCGACGCACTAGCCATTCAAAATTACCAGCCCAAACTGTGTAAGCAGCGTGAATGACTTATCACTCTGGCGCTACCTTGGTAACAAATGTGTCTGGTGATTAATTTTGATCGCAGTCTTTCTCCTCCTACGATTATGTTATTCACTGATCATCTATATTAACGATCACAATATGCATGTCGGCGTTATTCATTCGCATTACTTGAAATTCTCTACCACCACACGTTGTCTCTGCGCCCACAATTGATTCATTCAAGGACAAACTGGATGAAGCTCTGAAAAGTCCCAAATTTCAACAGCCGTAGAAGTGCACGAAACAAGGACAAATTGTGACATTCATCTACTTTGTATGTACTGTGAACCGATTCGTCTGCGCCAAATCCTATGGGACTAGAAAAGCAACCGCTTGTAAGTATTTCCCATAATAAAACTCTGAATTTGACTTTGCATTATGCACGTGTACGGATGCAACGAAACGATTCAGGGGATACATTGTGCAAACTTGTGTTTTATTCAAATTCGTTACGGGGAAACTATGGTGAATTCGCTTGTATTCTCCACTCGACTGATTAATACCACAATTCAACCAGGATCATGTGAACTGATTGGAAATTTATTTCACCGCTGTAACCGTGAGTGAATTTATTATTTTTTTAGTAAAAGTAAGGCTGTTGAATCAGATTTACCCTAGCCAAATCAGAAAGGACAGTTGATTCATCGATGCCTGATAGCGAGTAAGATAAAAAAAAATGCGCTTTTCATCCAATAGACGAAAGCATTGCGAACAAATGAGACCATCTATGGGTGGTGGAACGGAACGGGCCCGTACGGGAGCGCGAGGGCGTGGGGCAGGACCCAATACCTACCGCATTGGATTCAAATTACAAAGTGTGACTGTCAACCGCGGCGTATCCGCATGAATGGGTCCCGCGGATTGATAAGCTGCGGCGATCCGATCGTCGGTCGAATGATGCTCGAATGTCTGAATTGGTTGAGACAGTCCGGAAGCGTTCTTGTGTGACAGGTGACGAACCAGCGCTTCTTTCGAACTGTCTTCGCGTTCGGCCACTGGACCGGTGTACACGAAATAGCCTTTCATGGCTCGATATCGTGCGAACCAATCGGCCAAACGATAACCAAGGCAGGCGAAAGCAACCAGGCAAATGAATCCGATTATGATTCTGTGTGGAAGGTATTTGGAGAGTGGGATGGAGTGGGGTGGGTGTATAGTATTCAGGTTTCGGTGGGCGGTTACAAATACCATAAGAGGCATATCCTTTTACACAACATGAGTAAGAAGTTTTTATTGAATCACTCGTTCAAAACTAAGCGTTATTGACCACCAGCTGACAACACGGTCATTCGAATCGAATCACCACTTGCGACAATAAGCAAATTTCACATTTATCGATTAGCAATAATCAAATTATTCAAAGTCTTGAAGATGTAATCCCCGACATCGCAAAACCAACAACGCTCCTTAGAAGTGCACACAGATTTGAAGCTTAAGAGAATAGATAATTTCTTGTTGTCTGAAAATTGTGCGTCATTTAAAAGGGGGTCCAAAATGGGATAATCCCCGAGGGATCCATGATTCCGGCCGAGAACAGGGGAAGAATACGAATGGAAAGGAATCAAGCAGTTGTATCCATTTTCGGCCGGTATTCTTTGTACCCATTCAATATTTACAGGCACCATACGAAAAGGAATCACCAACAGAGATCTCGGTATCGCTAGATAGATAGATAGATAGATAGATAGATAGATAGATAGATAGATAGATAGATAGATAGTGGATGGATATATCACTAGAAAGATAGATAGACAGATAGATAGATAGATAGATAGATAGACATATAGATAAATAGACAGATAGTTAGATAGATATTCAGATACATAGATAGATAGATAGATTTATAGCATAGATAGACAGAAATATGCATAGATATATAGATAGATAAACAATCGATGGACCATAGATAAATAGACAGATAGGTAGATCGACAGATAGATAGGTAGATATATAGATAGACACGGATAGATAAATTGATAGATAGATAGATAGATAGATAGATAGATAGATAGATAGATAAATTTCTCATTCATTTGACTAGGAGTTTACGGTAATTTGTGGGTTAGACTGCATTGTTGAACACGACTCTGATTGACTGACCAGACAATACCAAGTTGATCTTACCTTACAGTGAGTGTCCCGTCAATGGGGGGGGGAGGGATTTTTCTACTTGGCTTAGAACCGAACCCAAGGCCTTACGCGCGGTATGCATTCAAAGAGCATAGCGATTGTGAAAACACTGTTTTCCCGTCACTAATTTAACTAGAGAAATTAGAAACATGGGTTTACACACTGTGTTTATGGTTGCTTCGCTGCATCTGTACACGCGTGCATACTGCACTCAAAGTGGTTTTATAACCATTGAGATAATATCCGTGAGACGAGATCACTAATCACAGTGCACAACACGACACACTAATACAAAAAACGGGAGAGGGTAGGCGGTTAATCATCAAGTTCGAGCTAATGCGACTAACCATCCACGTTGCTTGGTTAGATTAGAGCCTTGGCAAATTTCCGTAACTTTGCGTTTGTTGCCTTGTCTGTGTCCTAAAGTTCGTGGGTTGGAGTGACGCAATGCTACCGTTTGATTAGGTGTTGTGTTATCAAAGATCCAAGTCTTCTCTGCTCGTTCGATGACGCAACGGTTCCGAACTCATCGTCGCTCGCTTTCTTAGAGGTGAATGATTGTTTCACGCACGTCGTTGGGCGTTGAAAATATTTAGCAACCAGATAACATAATACCTATTCGAACGAAAACTGCGGCACTGTAACCCACACATCTCAGGACATTGACAACAACACAACAAACACAAAGTTACTGAAATTTTCCGAGGCTCTATGGCCATTCGTACTCTTAAACTCGGTCTGTTCAAACAACGTGAATGGTTAGTCGCATTAACTTTGTCTTGGTCATCAGCCCTTACTCTCTCTCTCTCTCTCGTCTTTTGCGTTGTTGTGTCATATTGTCCATTGTGATTAGTGATCTTGTTCTCATCCTACTGATTATAAAAATCCAATTGACTGCAGCATGCACATGTCTACCGATACGGCGAAATGACCATGGCTACACTGCGCACACCCGTGCTTCTGACTTCTCCATTATGCTTGTAAACTATAATGCGCTTGACATCGGACTGTCAGGTGCATCACGCACGAAATCCACTGTCCGCTTTTGGTTCCGCAACTTCGTTGACCAATGTATTTTTTCAGATCACGGAATCTGGCCTCCCGTCGTGAATTGGGCTGATGATGAATAAGCACTTGATTTCATCCTATCGCATTCGTATACCCCCGTGCCCGCGAGGTTTGCGTGCCAACATCATGGTTTTTTGTTTTTCACCAGCTGAAAACCAAATCCCCCCCGCCCTCCTCCCTTGACCACCCGCTAGCCTTGTGGTCCAACAAACTGTGACTGGCATTTCTCCGGACATGATCGATACCATTTTACGGGAAAAAACAGCGTTGATTTTAATCCATGATGTTGTACACTGTACTTTGTGCCTGATTGGACCGGTGTGGAATGATGAAGATGATGCACGCTCGTCCGGATCACTCTATTAACGTGTGTGTGTGTGTCACTATTCCCCAGCCCAGCTCGCGCGATATATACAGTCATGCAACGGAACGTAACAACGGTTTTTTGTCGGTCCAACCGTTCACGCACTTCCATGACACGATTACGTTTATGCGCAGTCATTATTTGGGATATTTAGATATCCGTCAAACTGTTTTTTTGGTACATATTACTACTTTTTCATGAACATGCATAGAAATGGAGAGAACGTACAGTCAATTAGTACAAGCTTTTTTTTGGAATTTGTTTCGTCGTGACTATGTACGACGGAATTTATGTATGGGAGGTAGCATCAAGACATGCATAATGCATTGGACAGTGTCATTGGGATAAAATCGTGTCTATTTCCATCTGATAGATGACCGACTCGTGGCCACCTGGTTTTGGATTCATTTCGATCCCAACCGGCCAATATATTCTTCCATTTTTCCTCCGACATCAAATAAGCACGTCAATAAAATTTATCAATGTTTACGAAACGTGATCTGTTCTGTGTGGCGCAAAATGCCCGTCAACTGTGAAGCCCCTTGGAAGCGATGCGATCTAACTGTTTAGTTTATCCATGTTGGAATTCATCAGTCGTGTACAAATCTATATAATCCACCGGGTTTTGAACCCCTGCGAACACGCGTTTGGTAGCACAACGCACTGATCACCGATACTGTCCGAACTGGTTCATTGCCATGTGAACAACGGCACTGTAATGATGCGGTGTACTGGGCAGTGATTCGACTCTCTCTGAGCTCAGTTAACCCAGGTGACCAGTAAGTCGGATTACCAAGCTCTCCTAACCCTCATCCTAATCCTAGTAGATTAGGTGAACATCATTCTCGAATAATATCTGATACGTCTAATCAAACAGTTCTTCTATGCTTCTAGGGTTACTACATGGTAAGGGACACTTTGCCACACCCGGAAAACAAATATCAACCATTCAAACTTTGTACATAACCTGTCAGTCAATAAAAATAAAACGGACAATTATACATTTGATTCAGTGATATAAATGCTCCATCAACAAGCATGGGATACCGACTACAGTTAGAAATGCCTTCTGTTTGAGCTCATTCAATGGCGCTTTATTTCATTCAATCCAAATCATTTGTCTTCAGTTTGCATCATCCTGAAGGAATGAATATGTGCCTCAGATTTTAAATCCACCGTGCGGCCGATTTATTCCGCACTGAATAAACCTAAAGTATTGCGTGCAATCACGCCTTTCGGGAATCACCAGATTAGTGAGATCACGTGCTGCTCCGAATACCATCAATACCGTCCTTACCTATATTTTGGATCATTCATTTTACCAAAATAGACTTCAGAGTTTAAAGAACACCTACAGTATTGGCCGATTGTGATGTACCAAAATATTTGCTTTATGATCAAATGAAGTTTCATTATATTTATCACCTATATTACTGCATAGGTATGGACAATAACTTATATCTTGTCTACTTCGATCTACGTAGTTTCTAGTCTGCATAACTGTCAATTAAACGTGCCTGATACTGATTGCCAAGATTGAATGATCTCACCATGAAAATCGCAAACTTTATCAAGAATGAAAATGCAATATATTCTAATAGGAATAACTCAAAAATTATCCTAAAATAGTTCTCGGTTATTTGTTATGAGGCATTATTCTATCTAATATATAATCCATTATAGCAACTCTATTGAATAACCAAATGAAATTCTTTCGCAACCCGCAGAAATTGGTTTCATAATAATACCAACACTAATACTAATACTAATACTACTACTATTAATAATAATAATAATAATGATAATACTCTGTACTTGATATCTAACTCACTGAATTCGAGAAATGCCACTTCAAGCAAAGTCAACCTCGAAATCAAAGTCATTTTTGTGCACAGCTTTGAATGTTTATGTTGTTGTCACTATAGTGAAGCAAGCAGTGCTCGAAACGAAAAGTTCCCGTTATCTCCGAGAAGTGGACAGAAACAGAATTGCACGAGCACATAAGTTGTGATTTTCGATATCTAACCTTCCAAATGCTTTAACGTTAACAAAATCATGATAAACAGGATAACCCATGGGAAAACAGCGAAAACAGCATATGGGGGCTGTTAACCGAGTACACCTAAACAAGAGGACGAACTGATTCGTATTACTCTGAAAACACATTGCAGAAAATCAATCAAAAGCACCATGAACACTAGGAAATTTGCATCAGTGATTACGAAAATCTTTCCAGAATTTCATGAAAAATAGTCTGGAAAGGTTATCGTTCTTCAGGATAACGCTCCGTGTCATGTTTCACGAGAGGTTAGTAAATTTATTTAGTTAAGTCGTCTGGGTCACTCATTATTTGCCTTTAGACTTCAGAAAAAATGCGTGACTCTAAGGTCCAGTTCATGCAACTTCCACCTCTAATAGCCCGGATTTCAAAGTGATTGAAAATCTGTTTTTGTTTTGAAGAGGGAGGTCAATGTGCTACCTATACATTGGAGATTGGAGGCAAAAGTGCGATGCGTAATGGAGCACAAAATAGAAAATAACTTCAAAACAAAGTTGGTGGATTCCATGCCGAAGAGACTCGAAAAAGTCCGAAAGAACAAAGGCAGACCAACCGACTATTAGTGTACATAAACGTTGCATCTTAGTTATTATCAATTTGTTGTAAATAAAAACTGTTCCATTCTCTTCAGTTACCTCTTAACGCATCATGGTCTAGGTCAACCCCTACTGATGAAATGGGAGTATCCACTACTGCTCAGTTTAAAGGAATCAGGAAAATCAAGTCTATAAAGACTCACCAAAGCTTGCCTATTGTTATTTGGCAAAACAATCTACCTCAGTATAAATGCTGTTGTCTATACGAATCGACAAGCGTTTCACAGGGACCCGTTGCTTCAGTTTCGTTTAAACCTGTATATGGTTTTTTTCGTGAACACCGTTTCCTGTGTATGCTCGCTTATTCATGAACAGAGCGAACTTTTCAATCAAGGAACAAATCGATCAAGTCAGGAAATTTGATCAAATTGCCACAGATCGATATCATGGGGCAATGGGCATGGAACGCAACAAGTATGTGTCCGTATGTGCGCGCACGATTCTTTTTTCAATTCGAGCGGGCCAACAGCCCAACAGAGGCTAGAGTATATTATTTTTCAAGTTGACAGAGGTGGGATACCTTAACATTTGGCAAACAATACCAGCTGGTTAGTACTGCCCGTAAGGGATTTGAAAAGATGTCCGATAGCGAAGCATAGTTTTAAAGATGAACAACTGGGCGGGGTGACATTCAGAGTGACAAATATTCTCATAGATTGAGCAAGTTCGTTTCCATAAAACCGATCCGCGATAAGGATCCTTACTTAAATTACAAATAGTTCGGCCAAACCGGTACCCAGACAGAGAACCGTCCATACAATAGCTTTGATGTTTTATTTAAAGATTTAAAGAAGAGCGAAACTCGATTCTAGTGCTTCCGAGTTTATGGTTGAATCGATGAACTGAAGATTGTCCGTGAAGGTGCAGTCCGAGGGATGATCAGTCAAATCAGTAAGAATTAATTATCCCAAACT